GTCCTACTATGAAAGCTCTGACCTCTGCATTGTTCGGGTCCTCGATCGGCAGATAGGTATCGTTCCACGCTTCTTGCATTCTCTGAACAGAGAGTTGAAACCTGGTAATCCAACGAAGCATGTCTCCGTTCCCACGGTGCATGTTCATGAACTGCTGGAAGCGATAGAGAAAAACATTCGCTGCTCCCTTCACGAAAAGCGGCCGCAGGAAACTCTTGAAGTACTTCACTCCGTTGTTCGGGTCCTTCAGGCGATCTCTGTCGAGAAGTCTCTTGTGGATTGCTGCTTCACCTTCTAGCCGATTTCTCAAAGCTGGTCCACGCTTATCATTGTCTAGCTCAGTAATGTCACACCAGTCATCGATCGCATCTTCATAGGCAAACCAACTGCTTCTACCATCATAAGATGGAGGTACTTTGGTGGTCACCTGCTGGAAAGCTGAAAGACGGTGTAATTCATTGAGATGACGATGATTAGTCGCGAAAGATTCATTTCCGTGGAGGAGGTAGTCATCATCTCCTCCTTCATGCTCAAAGATAGTCGCAGAGTGGCTAGCCATTGCGCTGTTCTTGGATCGAGCCCCGGGAGAAACCTCTTCCGGTTATCTTCACCTGAGTGAAGTGTGCCGGAGAGACTCCGGTCACCTTCACCTGAGTGAAGCACACCGGGTATTCCGGTTGCCTCCACCTGTGTAGAGAGTACCGAACGGGTACCTCCACAAGTGTGAAGCTTCCCGTTTCCCGGGAGCTCCGCTACCACGTTGAGATGTAACCTGGACGTGTATCCCCTCGCTAGGCGTACAGGAACACAGGCACTCAGGTGTCTCTTTTGCTACAGGCGCACAGCTGTAGTCCACTGCACTAGAACCTTGAGCAACAGGCATGGATACATGCAAGTGATACGTGAAACAGACAGGCACCTGGATGTGTAACATTCAGTGTTTCACCCCCCTCCCCCCCCCCTCCCCCCCCCCCCCCCCCCCCCCCCCCCCCCCCCCCCCCCCCTCCTCCCCCCTCCCCCCCCTCCAATCTCCTTGTACCCGTTCTCCTCGCACTTCGTATCAACAACCGTGTAAAGGGTTTGACAGGCCGCCCTAGCATAAAAAAACATCGACTGCCCCCTCGCCCTGCCGCTACACAGCCGAGGCGGGCGGCGTAGCGTTAAAATTACTACTGCTACCATAAACTGCCATTATTGTTGTTGCTTTCCATCATTACTACTGCTACTACTACTACTACTACTACTACTACTACTACGGCTAGTACTACTACTACTACTACTACTACTACTACTACTACTACTACTACTACTAAAACTGACATTTCAAACTAATGTACGTGGTTCTCTTCTTCGTCGTCTCTTCTGCTTCTTCTTCTTCTTACTACTACTACTACTACAACAACTACTACTACTACTACTACCATACCACTACTACTACTACTACTACTACTACTACTACTACTACTACTACCATTACCACTACTACCTACTAACTACTACCTACTAACTTCTACCTACTACCAGTAACTACCAACTACCAATGCCAGTGCTGTTGCTGGTACTGTCTTGGTCAGCAAGATTTTGGGGGATTGGCGCAAGATTGCACGCAAGCATGCTTCGCTCGGGACGGGGGGGGGGTCAAGATTTCACGGTACACTCTTGCCAATCTTGCAGACCCCCCCAAAGATGGGCAAGATTTGCAGAATTTTGATCCCGAACAGCACGGTTTGTTTCCCAGCACAATGTAGTACTAGTACTAGTACTAGTACTAGTACTGCTGCTGCTACAACTACTACTACTACTACTACTACTACTGCTACTGCTACTGCTACTGCTACTGCTACTACTACTACTACTACTACTACTACTACTACTACTACTACTACAGTACTACTACTACTACTACTACTACTACTACTACTGCTACTACTACTACTACTACTACTACTACAGTACTACTACAGTACTACAGTACTACTACTACTACTACTACTACTACTACTACTACTACTACAGTACTACTACAGTACTACAGTACTACTACTACTACTACTACTACTACTACTACTACTACAGTACTACTACAGTACTACTACTACTACTACTACTACTACTACTACTACTACTACTACTACTACTACTACTGTTGCTATCATCTTTTGTGCGATCTATGTATAATTGCATACTGCTGGATACAGCAAGGTGAAACCAAGTACATAATACTACTATTCTCTCTGTATGTATATATATATATACACACTTATATATGTGATACATTGTTGTATACCACTTTATTAATATTTTTAGAGATTGCTATACGTGTTAAGTATGCACTTTGCCAGATCATGACATGATTATTCCTGCGGCCTGGCATCAGTGGTAGACTTGTGAACACAGCATGCTCCCGCTCTCAAGCAGTTCCCTGTTGCCACTGTGGTATAGGGTGACTGACTGCCTGTTTCCGGATGCTCAGAACCAAGCTTTTCTCGAACAGCCTGCGCACAGGCAAGCCGAGTTTCACAAGTTCCAGCAACATGCGACAGATAAAACCCGAACTTCAAAAACTGCTGCGCTCTTTCTCTCCTGCTCTCAACACTTGCATAGACTAGATTTGGACCTGAAAAGCTTCAAGGGCCACTCCGGGGAGGTCTGGGCGCTGCATGGCGCTGGCGCGCTGCCTGGCAAGCTTTGCCCGGATGCATACAGTACTCTCTGCGCCTCTGCAACTCCAGCAGTGTCAGGGACATTTGGTATACGAGCCAATGTGCCCTGATGCAGGCGCCTCATGCTCTCGAAAGCGCTATGAAGCCTTGCAGTGCTGAGACACGGGCTTGGGAGCAACCCTTGTGATCACAAAGCCTGTCCCGTTATTCACAGATAGCAACTTTATGGACTGGCCTTCTGTGCATGGCAACCTCCTTTAGCCAAAAGGACCCACACTCTCCCCAGGCACTCCAAGCGAACTTCGGCTGAGAAGGGAGGTTCTGTGGACTGACTTCCCCCAAGTAAGAACGGAAAATTGTCGCATCCCGCAGCTCGTGCTGTTGGGGGAGGGGTGTGCAGAGAGGGGTCAGGGCGTTGAAGCTGCAGCCGGAGGGTGGGCTGGGGGGGCGGCTCGGGATCACAGAGAGAGCCGGGATCTTGTGCAAGCCATAAACCCTATAACATAGCACATGCACCCTTTTATATTAACCTTAACCTGTACCTAACACCCTACACCCGACCCTAAACCCCGCTTACATGCAGGCTCTAAGCCTAAAGCAGAACATAAACCGTCAATCCTATAACGATCCTACACCCCAAACCCTCCGTGGGCCCTTGTCGACTCGAAGCCTTCTACCTTTTTAAACGCCCTAAACCCAAAACTCAAAGCTTAAGCTAAACCCTAAACCACAAAACCGGAAGAAGGACTCCACAACCCACTCCACAGGGAGGGAGGGATCCTGGACCGGGGGGGCGGATGGGGGGGGCTATGCTCCACCCGTCGCGATACATGAATGAAATCTGTGTGGTCCTGGGATGTCCTGGGCAGGCCTGCATCGACAATGCCACTATGTCGTGTGAAATCTCCACCAAACCTTTCAGTGGTGCCTTGACTTACCGTGCCCTTCTCACACATGCAAGCCTATTCCGCCGGGATGCTGGACATTAGTGTCCAACGTGTTGAGCACTGTCGAAAACTGCGTGCAAGTCCCTGCCACTGAGGAACGCACAAGGCACGGGAAAAGAGGCCAGCATCTACGCCCTGCCATGATCTTCAGAGCAATATACGCATATCAGCAGCAGCGGGGATGTGCCGAAAATCTTGGACACGGACTCGGTCCGCCCAGCCACCCACACCGTCTGCAAGACCGAAAGCAGAGATTGGCAGCGAGGCCTGCAGCCGCAGAAAGCAAGGCTCAGACCTGCTGCAGAGTACAGATAAAGACCTCCTTGTTGTGCACCCTCTTATGCTGAGCTGAGCTTGCGGCGAAAAACGCGTCTTCACCTTTGTGTCCATCCACCTGAAAGGTTCCGACAATAACTGCACCGAGAAACAGACTCCAAAACATCACACGAGTCAGGCCTTCGGAATGCAGCCGGCGCCCAGGCTCAGTCGCAGCCTCCTGCACACGTCTCGGGCTGGGACATCTGTGACAGTGGCGCGTCGGTTAGTACCTGTAACATCGTGCGTGGAAGCTTAGCCGCCTCGCGAAGGATGACCCCTGCACATTTGCAATTCGGATGCCCAAACGAATAAGGTTGCTGAAGTCCTCGGCTCAGCCGCGAACCACCTGCAAAGAAACAAGCATTCCAAGTGCATGCAGCTTGGCATCCGCACTGCCTGGCGCCGATGGCATGCTTGAAGCTGCGCTGACCTTGAGGATGTACAATGACCGGGTCGAGACACGGACGGCCCCTCTGTGGTATCATGGCCAGAATCTCAGAGCCGTGCGCAAGGCTGCCATGGAACTCATTGAAGCCACGTCCCACGGTTACGTCAATTGGCTACCAAAGTTGTATGGCTGTTGGCTGGCGGTTGACTCCCACCGGAGGAGAGCTTCTGCTTTGTTGGACTCTGTGCTAGGTTGGGAGCTGAACTTGTGCGAAGGCTGCATGCTTTTGGCAGCGGGTTGTGAGTGATGGAGTGATGTTGCGAGCACCTCAGCCTCTGATAACGACAATGTCTGCTCGATTAACTTTTAGACATGCAGCACGTGTGGCCATGAGCTTCTTCATCTTTGTTGAGGCTGACGAAGCTGCAGGTATCTGCACCCTGACACGAACTAGCAACCAGCTCTCTTGCGCAGCGGCCCTCTGATTTTGACAAGACCCGGACGTCAAAGGTTGGGCTGCAAGTCGACAAGTGTTTCTACTGTCTAGCGGAAGACGTGCAATGTGCAAATTGCCCAGAATATCATCTCGAAATACAGAAAAGCCATTCATAGGGTGATGTCAATCTTGTAGCAGCGGAACGCGATCTGGTGCCAAGCTCTTGGCCTATCACTCGGCGGAATCTTTCACTTCCACACCTTTCAGAGCCAGTCAATGATCATGCTGGGTCTTACGTTGCGATACTCTATTACAGGCAACTCCAGAAATCGAAGGCAAGGCACACTTCTGATTTCAGCAGATCCGTCTGCGTTGATCACACACTGGGAGTGCATCTTGACCTCGGTGCAAACTTCTTGCAGTGCTCAGCCCAGCTGAGTCTACAATAGACTACAGTAAATTATCTACTATACTGCAAAATTGTTTTTATGTGCGACAGACAGACAGACCGGAGACAGCCCAGGAAGGAATGTGAGGCCCCAGCTCCCTTCCAGCCGGGCTGCATCCATTCCCACCTTGCATCCAGCATGACGGTGCCAAGCATCAAGAGGTGTCGCACAACAATGACCGCTTTAGAGCAGATGTGCTCGACTTTGCTGGCTGCTCAGGCTAACTAATGCTAAAATCGAAGCAGTTATGTCTCCCCTCCGGCAGCACTGCATCAATACTCTTTATGCAAAAAACCTGGAGAAGCCGCATGCAAAGATCAATCATTGCACAGTAGTAAGAAAGAAACGACTTCCAGTCGTCCCAGTCGATCTTCATCGCATCCTGCCAACAAGTACTGGCACACCCCAGCCTTTGGCCACTACGCTCGCCATATAAGCCGGAACGAATAGAAAATCAAGGGTCATCTAACACAATAGCAGATGCGTTCGGTGTCCTGCAAGTTTGGCAGCTGCCGCGGCTGCATGCGTGGGGGCAAGTCCTCTTCAGCCGGTGGGTGACCATGCGCGGCTTTCAGAAGGACTTCCACAGATACACAGGTGCGAATGCATATGAATGCATGAACCAGCCTCACCCTGAGCTCCATGCATGTGGAAAGATCAGCATGCCCCGCCTTCGTAGGAACATTGTAGAATTCCTGGTGCAGCTTGTCCTGCAAACTCCAGAGGACTCCAGAGATTTCACGAAGATGGTTGCGTCTGCCGCTGGAACTGTTCAAGACCCGACGCTGACCTGCCGCCGCACATCCTGCCTTCCTTGTGCCTCCTGATTGCTGTTTCCGGCTTTGCTGCAGCGCACATCACACAGTATGAAGCACCACATGACCCTGCGTGGGCCAAGGTGATTGTAGAACACGGCTCCGCGCATGTTTTTCCATCATACACTCTCCGCTCCTAACTTCGGCGGCGGAGGCTGTAAAGGATGGCAATCGATGTATTGCCAACTCCTCTTCGCCAGAGGATGCTGGCTTGACTTTGTACAAGGGCGCCTTTGACGCCAAGCTTTCGCTTGCTTTGCGTAAAGCATCAGAAGCACCACATGAAAGCCATGATGCTCTGATATAAGCCGTGGTAGCGACTCTTATAACAGTGACTGCAGATATTGAAGGCAAAAACATTCGGGCAGTTGAGGCAGACAGGATACAATCCAGGATATGTTCATGAATGTCTATGCACACTCTAGACTTTAGCCTTGAGTGCTCAGGAGGGCACATGGGATTCCTCCAGGAATGCTGGGGCTGCAGCTGTTCACCCTCCCCAGCGTCTCATTCACGTCACGTTCGTCTGAGCTCAGGTCCAAGCCAGCACCTGGAGGGCACTGTTTAGAGAGAGGACGATGAGACAGAATCCATCAAATTTGCATTTGCGACACGGGCTGGTTGCGACCGCGCTTTACTTCAAGTCGTGTCGTTTTGATCCTTCTCAAGATACCACACGCCGCCTCGTTTGGCGATTCCGCTTTATCATATATATATATATATATATATATACTAACATAATAAACACGCCCCTTTTATGTTAGTTGTTTGTGTTGTTGTTAGTTTCAAGTTTCACTTGGTTATCGCCAAACGAGGGGCGGAATTGGCAACGAGGGGGCGTGTGTAAGATGTATCATGAACCCGAATCGCCAACTGAGGAGGCGTGTTTACACACGCCCCCTCGTCTGGCGATTTCGGTTCAACATCTATCCTAAACACGCCCCCGCATTTGGCGGTTCCAGTTCATCATGTATCTTAAACACCACCGTTTTCGCGATTCCGGTTCATCATATATCTCAAAAAAGGTTCGCTTCGTATATCTTCAACAGGTTCCGGACCGATTCGTCATATATCTCAAACAGGCCCCTTTATCTGGCGATTCCGGTTCATCATATGTCTTGCACACGCCCGAACATTTGGCGATTCCGGTTCATCATATATCTTTCACACGCCTCCTCGTTGGTTGATTCCGGTTCAACATCCATCTGAAACACGCCCCGTCATTTTGCGATTCGGGTTCACAATTTATCTTACACATGTCCCCCTCATTTGGCGATTCTGGTTCTTCATATACCTTAAACGCCCCCCCCCCATTTGGCGATTCCGGTTCATCGTCAACAGGTTCAGGACCCATTCATCATATATCTTCAACACACCCCTTCAATTTGCGGTTCATACATATCTATCATATCTTAAACACGCCCCCTCCTTTGGCGACTCCGGTTCATCACATATCGCAAATACGCCCCTCCTTCTTTCGCGATTCCGGTTCAGCACATATCTTCAACAGGTTCAAGGCCGATTCATCATATAACCTAAACATGCCCTCTCATTCGGCTTATGTACATACGTACGTCTGTATGTACGTATGTATGTAGATGTGTGTGTGTGTGTGTGTATACATATATATATATATATATGTAAGAGATAGAGATAGTTGCATACTGCATAAATATTCATATAAAGCCTCATAGAATTCATTCTGTGATACGCGGGACAGCATACATGTATTGCAAAGCCAAGAAGCCAGGCATCCAAGCCCAGAAGCCCAGAAGTTAGAATGTGACTACAATACGAAGCCCAGAAGCCCGGACCAAGAAGCCAAAAGAAGACGGTAAACCAGCCAGGAAACCCCAGAAGCCGAGAAGCCAAAGGCCAAAAACACAAAAGATACCCAAATAAAAACAAACGATTACTTTCACAAAATAGGCTTCCTAAAAATTTTAGATGCCCACAGACCACCACCATCTCGGACATGGTGATGAATTGCAAAACCGAGGCACGCTCCCTCCAAAAGGTAGCGACCGTCTCGTTTGCAGGGCTAGGAAAAGGGCCGTGTCCACCGGCGTCTCCTGGAAGCCCATCGGGGTTCAATAAAGAATCTTGGAACTTGCAGATTGTGTAGAAATTCGGACCGTAGTGACAAGAACTGCGAGGGTGCTGGCCTCAACACATCTGCCAGTCCCGGCTTCTTATTCCATTCCGGCTGACTCCAGGCCATGCCATAAACCTGTGGAGCTGCAAATACTCAGTAAATTACGAAAGCTGGAGACTATGCGCATGCCGCGGGGTGCAATGTCATGCTCGCCAGGTGACCCAGCCGTCTTTGTCTGTTGCAGCCGTCGTCTCCTCAGCTGCAGCGCAAGTACACGTGTGGCACAATCGCTTCTGAAAGCTCGAAGCTTCACTTCCGAAGCTGCTGTCCACTTGGCCTCGTCCAACCGATCTTGCCGAGATTCCACTTGCCACGGGCCAACTGCCTGATCGGCCACTGTTGAAGAGAGTGCGTTACTTTGGTCAGCTAAAGCGATGCTGAGGCTCAGCCCTTGAGCAAACAAGGACCGTTCTTTGCTACATGCCGGACACGGAATGGTTTTGAACTATTTTGAACACTCAGATGCTGTGTCCAGAGCTTTGGGCTGGCAAGATGAGAACCAAGCTCAAGCCACAGACCCGTGCTGCAGCCTTGTACAATCCACCCAGCTGACAGGGTGGCTCCTTCGCAGGGAATGTGTCGCGCGATCAACCAGGTGAAGCCTCCCCCAACCACAAGAAAGCTCCGTCCTTGGATGCAGTCGCTGCATCCTTGGACAATTTCTCGTCCACCTGGCAAAACCCTTGGCCAGGGACAGGCAAAAAAGCTGCTTGCCTTTAGGTGCGCTTTCGGTGCTCCGTCAATCATGCGTCTAGCGCCAATGGCGAAGGAGGCTCGGGAAGGCTCTGGCAGGCCCTACTGCCAGACACGTCGACCGCTATTCGGCAACTGCCTTGACCATGGTGAGCTAGCTTGATTTCGCACCTGCATGGCCTCCCCGCAAGACATTTGCCATTCCTTACGCCGTGTACCCCACCCCCCTTCTTGCCTGAAAGAACACACAAAACGCATCGTAGACCCTCTGCTTCGGTCCGATGTGCAGCTGCAGCAGCATCTCATCTCGTGCCGTTGCTGTAGTTGGTCATTTTCCTCTGTTGTTTCGTGGACATCCCCATTGTCATAGCCAATTGTCCCGATGCAGCGTGTACCGCAGACCTCGTGAACTGGCCCTAACAGGCCGAAAACACTTATTCAACATCATATACAACAACACTCCTTCGGGCGTCAGCTGCAAAATGAGGGCCAAAAGAACCCTCTTAAAAGCTCAAATTGCGCATTGGATGAAATTGTGCCGTCCTGACGGCCCGGCCTGAGGATGCTTACGGCCATTTGGGCCCACCCAGCGCCACTGCAGGTCTCCATCAGTGGGCCAGCTGCAGGTTCCTCGTCTGCCCGTATGGAAACGGAAGGCACATCCGGCCATCGACACTTCCCGGCCTAGTTTCGTGGGTACTTGGAATGCCTGCACCGGTGCTGGGAAATCTCGAGGCCTCTTTTCTAAGGAGTCGGTCAGATTCATCCAATGGAAGAAGACCCAGAAGGCTCCCGCATCTCCAAGCTACAACCACGCATTGCTGGGACATCGAAAGATGAACCGTAAACACTATCCCGAAAGCGCCCCAAAAATCGGAAACATTCTGAGTCTTGCAGCCAGAGCAGCCCCATCCGAAGACATGCCGCTCCACTTCCCACACTTCCAGCAGCCTCGGAAGAGGAGAATTACCAAAAAACAACAAGTAGATCAGGGTTTAGGGTTCAGGGGTGAGGGAGACAAGCCCAAACCGTCTTGGGTGTACGGCACGATGACCATTCTATAACCACATACGGGGACCACAAAAAAGGGAGTTCGACTGCTTCTAGCGCTTTGGACATCTTGGCAGATACACCCAGTGGATGATCCACTGGAATAGGAAGCTCAGACTAGCTGACAGGCTGACAGGCAAATTCTCTGAAATTTTCTAGCACTATCACCAGTAATTGGTACGCGGAAATCTTCCTGATGTCATTATCTCTGTGGTGGCCCCAGTAGTAGCACAGGTAATGCCGACACCTTTGCTCGGCTACTGGCTCTCGAATCGACTGCTACGCCCATACGACCGTGCCTCGACCGCGCTGCACCGCGATCGCGCATTGCAGCCTCCCGTCGTCAACTTTGGTTTAAATTGGTGTGATTGTTGTAACGCAAATCACCCTGCGGCTCAGTTACAAAAGCACTATGCGAAATGGGCCCTTTTGGTAGACTTCTTCACAAAGTCTGGACCCAAGCCGAGGCCTCGGATTTCAACATCTTCAGCCCCGTCTCGGCCGCGAGCTTCATGTCGCGCACCCGCGCAGAATCTGAGGATTCAGAAATGGAGTTGTTGGCACTACCCAGTAAGCATCATGCTGCATCGTAAAGTTAAGGGATACAACACTACAGGCGGCTTGACCTTGCAAGCGCACACTACCAGTAGCAAGGGTGTCGCCGGCTGTGCATTCAGTTCCCCTACCTGAACAAACACAAGCCGAGCACTGGCTGTGCCACCGTGTGATGCCCCAGCAGAGCGTGTGCCGGCTTTGCGAAAGATGCGAGCTCCTGGACTTCCCTAAGACTAGGACGTTACTGTATCTAGAGCTGAGAGCCGGGCGCTCGTCATTTTGCCGCACAGCTCGTAGTTGCGACCAGGTGCGATGCGCCTTGCAATCTTTGGCAACAGCATGGAACTAAACCCAAACCCATCCGAGGCGCAACAAACCGAAGTCCAGACATGTCCAGACAAGCTCGCCATTCTAACAGGAAGAAAGGCACCATCCCATATGAATTCAAAGTGGTTTCGGATCCTTTCATGCAGCTACACACGCCTCTCGACGAACATCAGAACTCTGAGGCAACATGACAACCGCTTGAAATCGTTCTTACACTTCGGCCTCCAACCGTCCGTTGGCTGCGGCTGCTTCCAGGCCGCTCAGAAGTGCCCTTAGGGCCGCTTCGCTGAGGTTGGCCTGGCAGAAATTCAAGGAGTTCGGGTTGAGGTTTCGGCTCAGCGTTTCAGAGAGCTCTTGTGATTTGGGGCCTCGCGCAGCACGGTGGAAGCCTGAGAACTCCGCTACAGCGTTTGTGTTCTACATAAAAGCACGTTGTTGAATTTGGCGATCCTGAACTTTGCAGGCTGTGGTCGTAGCGGGTGACTGACATGAAGGCTTATGATTGTTTCGGCTCTAGAGAAGGGCAGCTCAAATCCCTGAGCGGTTGCGGCCCTGCACAGCGCCTTGTCCAAGTCCAGGCTGAAGACTTCTTTGGCAGACCCAACCAGCTTGAGTATCCTGCCTGTGCAGGTAGGGCCAGTCCCAAATAGACTGTGCCAAATTTTGTATTCAGTGCGGCCTTCCAGTGCGACCTTCTGCAGCTGGGAGAAGCGAAGCCCCCGCAAAGGTGCTACCTGTGACGAAGAAGGCACAGATCACAACACAGTCTAGCATTCCGATACACCTAAACCCAAACTAGCACTGCATACTACACACCCTTCATCGCGAACCCTTAATTTTCGGAGAAACCTTAAACCCTAAAAATTCGATCCTGCCTTCGAGGAGTCCGTCTTTTTCAAGATGTTGAACGTCCTCTCGAACTTGTTGGGTACGGCATCCGCAGCCTCGCCCAGTCACCAGAAGTAAACAACTACGACGACGACTGCCAAGAAGAATAGTCATTATCATAATGACGACGACAACAACAACATGACAATCACAAACAGTCAATGTTGACGGATATTGCTACTGTTCTGATTGTGCGGCAGTGTAGCAGAGTTTCAATCGGTTTTGTCTGTAACACGCCCGAACACGCGTAGACTTAGTGCGCAAACGAACGACTCCCGGTCAATGCACTTGGGCTCCGCTCCACGGTCTCGGCCGCACAGTGACTCTTGCGTACACTGTAGACGCTTGCAGGCGAAAGCTGCAGCAGCGACAAGTACAAGTTGATAGTCGAGACTGATGTGCAGCAAGTAGGTATGTGCTTCAACGGGATCTGACGGCTATCGGATTTAAGACATGATTCCTTGCAAACCTCATGATGGATATGATGGCTGGTTAGCCTTCGCTTGCCTCCTTTGCTAGCCACATGGGTGTATCTGTGCACCACGATGCCTTAACATGGTCGCTGCATTCCTTCGGGCATTGCTCCAACTTCATGACCTTTCGTGATCTGCGCCTGATTTGAAGCTACTGCCACGGCAAGCTGATCCACGAATAGCAGAAGCGAGGTGATGAACAGCTCTCCACCTGCATGATGCTACTGTGAACTTCCGGCACACGACAGTTCAGCATGCAGTGTCAGCATACAGGATTGCAGACTGTCTCAAGTCCGTTGTGCACTGTAGCCTACAATGTTGCGGTGGCCTTTTTCTTCTCTATCGAGGAGCACCACTTCACAGACGCCACGGATGTTTGCTCCGTACCTGGAATCAGTGGTGACATGTGTGATGGGCCGGGTGGCATCCGTTGGTGTGACAAGGTGGCTCCGCCATTGGTCCTTTCTCTTGCTGTCTCGCTCTCTCCTCCTTTCTTGTTGCTGGCTCTTGGGAACCCGGCTGGATGCCACAGAACATTCCCTCTCCCGCTCTCTGTGTGACGGCTCCTCCTACGGGTACCGCTGTCTATTTTGATCTCCTTACTCATGAACCTCCTGTATGCGCTGAACAGTAAACTGACCTGCCTTTGGTAAAGTTGAGCTTCAAAGTCGACGAAAGGACGCACCTCGCCCAACTCTCCTCGGTTTTTCAGGCGGCTGGTCTCTTCCGCAGCACGAACAGGTTCTCATGCGTAACACGACCACTAGGAATAAGCTGAGTCAGCTGTTTGGTGGGAAGATGTCTTCAAGCTTGCTACGACTGATTGTTGGGTTCGTGGCAGAGCTCCTGTAGCGATTCCATCGCTTCCCCCGCTGCCCCTGAAGACAGCACAGAAGACACAACGTCTTGTGTTGCCAGGATTCCAAAGAGTAGACGGGGTAATCGCAGGCGCCGCCGTGCACGCCGGCGCTGATTCGCTTCGTTGTCGTTCAGTGTGTTGGTCGTGGAGGCAAGGCCAGTTCCGACCTGAATATGCAGACACCGGCAGTTTCACATACCTTTAGGATAAGCAGAATATGTGTGTAATATAACATTATATATTATCTTGATACCACACACAGAGGTTGATGTACATTGTCGCGCCTCACCAATGGCGGTGCCGAAGGCGGCAACGGGCTTCACAATGCTTCCTGCGACTCCTTTGGTCAAGCCTGTCGTTGAACTTCTGTTGCCGGTGCAGAACTGATCATGTACTAATCAAGACCGAGCCTGTTGCGAAGCCCCATAGCCCTTCTTTCTGGGCGCCCTCCACTGGCTTCTTCACAACGTCGAACATACCCTCGACTCCTGGCATCAACTGGGGCCCAGCTATTAGGCGCCTGTCTCCTGGAGCATCGACTCTTTCAACCAGGCGGGCTCACCATCCATCAAGGTCTTGCCCGCTGCGGCGAAGCCCTGACTTGCGCCGGTGATGGTCTTCTTTTCTCCTTGTCACAAGCAGAGTGCAGCTGTGGGGGCCTGTTCAAAAGAGGCCAAGCTTCGGTTTTTAGCGATGTACTCGTCGTCCATGGTGAAGTTCCTGTCCAGTGAGCGGAGCAGATGCTGAAGGGCCTTACAGACCTAGGGGTCCTGCCACTGCACTTTGGATAAGCGGATGTAGCAAGCATAATAGGCATCTGGTACGTCTAGCGCATGAGCTTCCATGCCCATAGAACGGGAAATGGAAACGCTCGACAGCACCAGTAGCATACTCCTATCCTGAAGTAGCGAAGTCTTGAGATGCCAAAATATTCTAACACGTGGATTCCGCTTCAAGCCGATCGCGCCTGAGAAGTGACGCTGCTCCGGTGGTCACGTCAGTAAGCTTGTCGCCCATGACTGCCACAACTGCACCACCCAGCTTTAGTGGAGCCTTTGGCAGATTCAGCAGCGAGCTTTTGCCTGCGAGGCAAGAAGGGGATCCGGATGTCTCGAGGGATGCCTGGGTTGGGGCAGGCTTAGGACATCCTCGTGCCGACGCCTAGAAGTGAGCCAAGATGAGCCAAGATCGAAGTGCCATAGTCACTGACGACCGCCATGGCATAGTCCTACTACGAAGCTTCCAGTGTGTCAAATCAAACTTCATGTTGCCGTGACTCATGCTGAAAAGGACAAACATGCAGATGGTGCAAGATGCCAGTTGATTAGGAACAGCGTCAACCATCCCGAAAAAGCGAGGCCTGCAAAGATCCCCGGTGAGGTTCGAGGTGTCGAGCAGGGAGGAGGAGTCCCACCTCCACAGGCGGGTGTCACGACATTCCTTGACCGGGCCTTTCCAGATGCCAAGGAGCCCCATCCAAGGTGAAGTAGCTGCTGAAGGACAGTACTTTCAGAGCCTGGGAGCTGCCGTAATATAGGGGCCTTAATAATTAGAATAGGGTCTTGGGGCCCAGTATACTAGAGTTATGATAAGGATTCCCAAAATGGTATAGGTTGCATTTCCACTGCACAGATCATGCACTGGCACTCACATCCTCGAACCAGTCCGTCCCAGGGACTGTGCGGACATATACCGGCAGGAACTCCAAATACTTGAGTCGAAGCGAGCACCACACCTCAAGTTGTTTGGGTTCGTGAAACCATGCTCCTCTTGGAAGAGGCATTCGAGTTTGGCACAGTTCTAATCAGCTGGGGCGCCGTAGTGTCGACCGCAGAAATGTTCACATCTTCTGCCTGTACGACAGCCGGGACCTCTGGCGGAATGTAGCCATCCTCGGTGACAGCGCTGAGGCAAACGATCCAGGCAAAAATGCATCTGCAGACAAGCATGTAGGGCCATGGGGAGGGAGGGAAGCAGCCGTGCTTCGGTGATGGGCTTGCCGGCCACGTTCAAGAGCTCTTCTGCCACAACCCCGAAGAGGTCGAACCCCCCTGGAGGTATCTTTCGACATGCTGCGTTGATGAGCTTCCAACAATTGCATGACCTGGCCGAGCCTGGCCTGCGCCGAATGTGTGTGAAAGCCACTGCTGCAACGGAGTCAACCACTTCTCGTCCACGGTGAAGTCCAGTTTGTCGACATCAAGCTGCGCTGCGCTGAGCAGCAGATCCCTGCAAATCACTTGAGTGGCTATAGTATTAAATATTGAGAGTGGGGAAGAAGCTCGATTCTCAGCGGAGCCTGGACGAAGTGGCCTGTCGAGTCATCTGGAACTGCAGGAAGGACTTTCCTCCTGAGACGACAAGATGAAAAGCAAACCCGAACCCAGCGACTGGCCCTTACAACCTTCGATCCTCAGATCGTGGACATCTCGAGAGGTTCCAGAGCAAAACTCCACAACTGCCGTCCTGCAGAATGGTTCGCCAAAATGACTGCGGGGAGCTCCTGGCGTCAGTGCGGCCGTCGTGCGTCATACGGGGTGAAAAGTGCGCACCGGCCTGGTTCTGCAACAAGTTTTCGTGCAACCGCTGGAGTTGGCTGGGGTCCAGCATGCTCACTTTGTCCTCAGAACGCTCGTCCCGGACAAGCAGAAGCCAATGCACGAAGGTGGAAGCGAACGCAGATCAGCGGCCAAGTCGTTTGTCCGATCGGGCAGTTGGCAGATGCCCTGGACCTGCGCCACAGCAACGCAGAGGAGGACTGCAACTCAATAGTTCGTGCCCATACAAAGCGAATGCAGTGTGGGGCCCCGATGATCAGCTTCACTTCCCTTCTCCAACTGCAGGCCTCAGAAACAGACACCGTGATCTTCTCCGAATCTCGTGCAGCATCCTGCAACATCGCCGAGTTTTTGCAGATGCCGAGGCGACTTTGCAGAAGTAGCTAGAGAGCTTGGGCGGGGGTGGTGGCCTGCATGTACTCGAGACGCAGCATGTCCAGGGAGAAGAAGAACAGCTCGCAAGGCTGAGGGGGGCTCTCGTCGATGAGCGATATACCGGCGCGGCCCAGCTTCACGTGCAGCTCGAAAGTGGCCTGGAAGGCCTGTTCTGGCTCAGACTGTGTGAGCGAGGATGTGCCCTGCAGATAACTGTTCGAAAACCAAATGCCCATTAATGCTGTACAATGGTGGTGCACATCGATCCCCTCAATTGCTGCTAGCTTTCAACTTGAAGCTACAAGCAAACTTCGGCAAGTTGACAGCCGGGCCTGCATTACCGGAAACCCGCGTGCCTAATTTTGAGCTGCAGATCAGACTGATCCGAAGATCGTGTCTTTCAAACTGCCTCCCACATCCCCATGACCTAGGTATAAGCCTCCATCCTCCATCCACCTAACCCTAATAGCCTAAACTGTAAACCCGAAACTTCCTAAAGCTCCTGAACCCTGAACCCTACACTACCCCATACTGCAAACCCGAATTTTCTTACAAGCCCCTGGCCTCAGACTTCGCTAAAACCTTAACCCCTAAACCCCAAACCTTATAGTACGCCTATAGATCCCCTATAGTACCTTAGTAGATCCCTTTAGAGTACCCTTATAGTGTAGGTCCCTCGGAGTACCCTTATAGATCCCTTATAGTAAAAGATCCCTTTTGGAGTACCCTTATAGATCCCTTATAGAATCCTGGCCTCGGACTTCGCTTGAACCTTAACCCCTAAACCCACCCCCAAACCTTATAGTAATCGTATAGATCCCTTATAGTATAGTTCCCTTGTGGAGGCCTGGCCTCGGACTTCGCTTGAACCTTAACCCCTAAACCCGCCCCCAAACCTTATAGTAACCGTATAGATCCCTTATAGTATAGTTCCCTTGTGGAAGCCTGGCCTCGGACTTCGCTTGAACCTTAACCCCTAAACTCACCCCCAAACCTTATAGTAACCGTGTAGATCCCTGATAATATAGTTCCCTTGTGGAAGCCTGGCCTCGGACTTCGCTTGAACCTTAACCCCTAAACCCACCCCCAAACCTTATAGTAACCGTATAGATCCCATATAATATAGTTCCCTTGTGGAAGCCTGGCCTCGGACTTCGCTTGAACCTTAACCCCTAAACCCACCCCCAAACCTTATAGTAACCGTATAGATCCCTTATAGTATAATCGCTTGAACCTTAACCCCTAAACCCACCCCCAAACCTTATAGTAACCGTAGAGATCCCTTATAGTATAGTTCCCTTGTGGAAGCCTGGCCTCGGACTTCGCTTGAACCTTAACCCCTAAACCCACCCCCAAACCTTATAGTAACCGTGTAGATCCCTTATAATATAGTTCCCTTGTGGAAGCCTGGCCTCCGACTTCGCTTGAACCTTAACCCCTAAACCCACCCCCAAACCTTATAGTAACCGTATAGATCCCTTATAAAATAGTTCCCTTGTGGAAGCCTGGCCTCGGACTTCGCTTGAACCTTAACCCCTAAACCCACCCCCAAACCTTATAATAACCGTATAGATCCCTTATAGTATAGTTCCCTTGTGGAAGCCTGGCCTCGGACTTCGCTTGAACCTTAACCCCTAGACCCACCCCCAAACCTTATAGTAACCGTAGAGATCCCTTATAGTATAGTTCCCTTGTGGAAGCCTGGCCTCGGACTTCGCTTGAACCTTAACCCCTAAACCCACCCCCAAACCTTATAGTAACCGTATAGATCCCTTATAGTATAGTTCCCTGATAGAAGCTTGGCCTCGGACTTCGATTGAACCTTAACCCCTAAACCCACCCCCAAACCTTATAGTAACCGTATAGATCCCTTATAGTATAGTTCCCTTGTGGAAGCCTGGCCTCGGACTTCGCTTGAACCTGCTGCTTCTCCTGCAGCTCCTCGAGGCTCAGCTTCGTGGTCTTCCCGCTGCGCATCACTCGGAGAGCAAGTCCTCGGATCCAAACGCAAAAGCGGGTTACTAAAAGGGATCTATATGGGTTCTACAAGAGATCTAGAAGGGTACTTTCATAACAAGGTTTGGGGTTTAGGATTTAGGGGTTTAGGGTTTAGGAATACGAGTAATGGTAACCATAATACGAATACAGTAAGATAATAACAGTATAATACAACCTAGTATAGTATACCTGAATAAAGTATAACACTCGGATCAAGGTCATAACTCTGAGTCTAGTCATAAGTTAGTAGAGGGCGGTCATCACCCACTTACTTCCATATTTCTTCTCACATTTACACAATGCCATCGACTCAATTGATTCCTGTTCGACATGTGTATCTGCGCGGTTGTCGCTTCACTCGTGCCGGCATGAACGCGTTTATCACAACCGCTTCTGTGTTCACAATGCATCGACAATCGTTGAGCCTCTATGTTTCAATGCACGGCCTTTTACGTGTGAAGGGAGGTCCGAGCAACGGCAACATGCAAAAAGATCAAAAAGGAAGCTGTTGAGTCGAGACAAGGATCCCGGTGTCTTCAAGGGCCGTACCGCGGTTCGCTGAAGATCTGGAATGTCAACAATCTCCTTGTCCACAATCACACGGACAGCCTCAAGGCTCAGAACTTGAAGAACCTCTTCTGTCGTTAGTCCTTGTGTCTGCCGTGGCCGTCAACTCTGCAAGACACGTTGCTCGAGAGCGCTTGCCCGAGAAGGGCTTGCACCATCCGATCGGAACGCTCTCTCCACCTGCCGGACTCCAGGACTCTGGAAACGGCACGAAACAATCGAGTTCGAAGCCTAAACCTGGACTGCGATCATGACATGTAGACGAAATCAGGACCATCTTACCCAAGCCCTGATTCCCTTATGTGCGGCCCGCCATGCACCCGTGCCATCGATTGGTCAACGAAATCGTGCCAGCGGTTGTAGATATTTGGCCTTCCTTCTCAAGTTACACAGCACATCCTCTTGGTCTTCGTAGCTTTGATGAGGGCTCACCAGCGTACGAACAACGGGTGCAACACTTTCACCACATCCAAGACTGAAATGTACATAAGCTAAGTGGGTTGTGTGGGCAGTAGTTGCGCCTCATCGAAGCTTGGACACCTACATTTGCCCTTCGCTTCTAACTAACATGCGCCTGCACGACCTGCGTGTGCAGACGGTTGGACAATTGGAGCTAGCTGTAGTGGCCAATCAGAAACATGTGTGTCTGTACTCTCGCAGAATCTGTATGCAGACATATGCATGCTGTAAATCCAGGTGCAAAAAATGCGTATAAATACATACATATGTGTATGTACAAATATACATATGCCTGGTTACATGAACATGTTATTACAGTTATGTGTGTATATATATATGTATACATACATGAGAGAAAACATGTGCTGTCAAGTCTGATCTCTCTAGTCTTGGGCACAGAAGATTGTCTGCTTTTCCGCTGGGAAGCTTACTATCACGGTGCCACCTGCTAAACATCATGCCCTTTCAGTGAAAGCTGGCAAAACCCAAACTCCATGTTTCCGGAATCTCAACCCTACACAAGAAGCCCGCTACAAAAGGTTTGGTAGTGCCATCATCACAGCTGTGGATACAACTAAGGCCTACACCTTGAACCCAAATCCCCAAACCCGAAACCCTGAACCCTAAACTCAGCTGACCTGCCGGCACATTGATTCTCTCGTCTGGCCGCTCCTCGTCTTGTACCTCCATCCTGCCATGCGGTGATGGGTGGACAGAAACAGGCAATGATAAGTCCAATAGTAACAGTATTAATTACAAAATTAGCGCCAGGGTCATGATGTCCACTCGAACCGGCAATATGATTGTGCACCGCTGTTGATAACTCCTCTCGCAAAGGCTTTGTAGTGGTGCAGATGTAGAATAGCATGATCGTGCCATGGAAACCTGCAATGGTCTACCTTCTCTTGAACATCTGGGCTTCAAGGTCTTGATGCCCATGGTTTAACAGTCAGGGTTTCAGCTTTGTGCAAATAAGGTTATGAAGATCTCTTCAGCAAACTTTACCACTACTACTGTTGATGATATA